AAATGAAATACTGTTCGCAGACGATCAAAGTCTACTGCATAACAATAACACTGAACTGCAGGAACACACTGACAAACAATCAATTCTGTAGAAATGTGGGCGAGATGGAATGCCTCAGGAAAAAATTAACAAGAAGGGATAAAGAAAAAATAAAAGAGAACAAGTTGGGACAACACCATGTATTAAACACATTGAAAAACAACTCATTAAATTGGCCCATGTTGGCCATTAAGCCCTAGCTTATTTGCCCATGTGGGCCAATAAGAGCAGCCTAAACAGAACAGGCACTGGGTCAGACCGAAGATGTTAGGTTACACTTAGAGGAAGCTGTAATAAGACATTATTTGAGCGATCTGAGCTTACACCACCGGCGTCTTTGCTGTCATGGTTGGAATCTCTACCGTCGCACTCAAACTCAAAGGACATGGGTTCTTGCGTGGGGAAGTTACAAAACTATAGTCGAGTAAATTCACCTGTCCACTGGGCTACGGTTGTTGAATCTCACTCCACCCCGGCTATTTCTGACTGGCGGGGTCGAAGCATTCGGCTTCCTTAAATTCTGAATTACTTCCACTTTAGAATTATTGACTCCCCTCAGCACTTTCCTGAACGGTTGCCAGAAGTCAGTACACGTACAGTGTGAATGAGTTCATACGTTTTTAATATTATGTAACATGGACCAGGAACCGATACCAACCAGAATGTACATGTATTCTTCTTGTTCGAAACAGCACACTTTGATTCAGGTGTGCGTGTGTCGGGAGACATGGAGGCTCACAGCATCAGCAGCAAGAAAACTGCAGAGCTTTGTAAATGGATGCCTACGAAGGATAGTGGGGATCAAGTGGTACGATCGAATCACGAATACTCGACTGTGGGAGAGAACAAGCCAAAGGCCAGTAAAGGAAGATATTCAGATGAAGAAATGGAAATGGATTGGACACACCCTGAGGAGACCCCCGACAAGCATCATCAGGCAGGCTTTAACGTGGAACCCACAATGAAAGCGTAAGAAGGGAAGACCAAAGATGACATGGAGGCGAGGGTACAAGTGGAAATTGAAAAAGCAGGGACATTATGGAAACAGATAGAAAAGGATGCTCAGGACAGGCTTCGCTGGAGTAATGTTGTTGATGGCCTGTGCTCCACTGGGAGTTAAAAAGGGCAAGTGTGCCTGTGTCGGGGGATGCTACTAGTAAATCTCACTTTATTTGTCTTTTCATCGTTCCCGCTGAACTAATTACAGGGTTGTTTTTTTATTACTCAGATATGTTTAGCTTAAAACAAACTAAACCATCGTTGCCGGGTCATTTATTCTCTCATTATCTTTTTTTTATTCCAGTTTTGCAGAGTCAAACATGACGATCATGAGGTCAAGGGGGAGTGCAAACACGACGGAGACTTTCGAGTGAGGACTGAACTGCCATGTATCTCTTTCTCATTAAGATTAAACCTAACCCCTTTATTGCTAGGTACTAGAAAGTCTCAGACTCTTTGTTAAGATCGTGGGAAAGGCCTGGGTGCAGAATGGTTCACTTCAGAAGCGATTTTGGGTAACATCATGTCAATGTTTACGGCATAATCGACTTGGTTTGTGACTTGTTCGTGAGCATCAGACGTTTATTTAGGATTTTTTAAAATCTTTTATTGTGCTTTGTTTTATGTTCTGATACACGCAATTGTTGACGATGTACATTTAGTTACTGTAGTTAGAATACTGGGGTTAGAAATTGAGTACATATTATTATGTTATTCTCACGTGTTGAATGGCTCACTTATCCACGCCCTCTCCCCTCTTTTACTGATCCCATACAAAACAAAGGGCTGGGAATTTTCTTTTCTCCATCAACGCTGACTCTTCTTTCTCTCTGTGTATCTCTGTATTTATCTTTCGTAACTGGTCTCTCTTTGCGGCTGTAAGTTTTTTTTGTCTTTCCTCGTATCTTTTGGTATTGCCAGGGTGAGTAAAGAGAGGAAGCAACAAGGCTCATGATAAAACCTTTTACTTTTAAGAATAACAAAGCATTCTGTTCCATAGTAATATAAGGAAAACGCAAGACGGGTGATATGCCAGATTAAGGTAGGCCTATATGTACGCATGCCCCTCCCCTTTCACCGTGTCTGGTTATATCACCGCAAGGCAATGACTATAATAATACCATTGTCAGGGAATGTTGTCCACGACAACGGGATATTAAGTGATGTCGGGGGTAAATTAAAGTTACTCAGTAATGTTTTGGAATAAATGCTGTGCTGCGAAATCGAAACTTTTCGAGCCCCCAAGTCATTGGATCAATGATATCTGTGATATCTGTGATATCTGTGATATCTGTGATATCTGTGATCTCCGTGAGTTATGTGTTCTCGCCACAGATATCCCCAGCACTGCTCCGCTGTCTATGTTATGATGGTTAAGCTTAGTGCATTGAACACAAAAGACATGAGTTTGATTCCCGGTGGGGGGGGGGGGGGGGGAGACTATTATCCCCATCTTTCTCATTGTAAGAAACCTACGCGCAACCTTGTGAGACCCGGTTCCTTCACGGTAGCAACAACTCGCCTAAAATGAGTTGACGAAGGCGTAAAATACATGACGTACTTACGACAACAATGTTTGGAAATCCCCCTAGCACTGCCAAGACGAACTGCGCGATCACGAGTGCGGAGTGCCAAACCACCACGGACATTACCCAGACGAGTGCTACTCCGACTGTTGCAACACTCGCCAATGTCTTGACACTCACTTTGGTGCTTATTTCAGTGAGTACAGAGTCGGAATGCTCTTTCCACACTGTTTTTTTTAAAAACTCCTTAGGACTTATCAAACACATTAAGTCCGACAAACAGAAAAACTAAGGCAATGCTACTGCACACTTCCAACCCTCATGATACTCAAATCAGAAACCCAAGCTTGTATAATATTTCATGGTACGCATGTTACTGCCTGCTTAAAGAGTCAGCTAAAGAAAACAGAATGGACAAATCTGATTGTTTAACAAAACGCTTCTCTTTTGAAGCGTGCCTTCAAGCGTTGTAGAATGGCCAGAATACATGTCTTCAAAGTGTTAATGGAATATGGGCAGCAAATCGGAGATCCCTGTCTCTTTGTTATCTTAGAATTACAATGTTCTATCTGCCCACTGCCTAGTTGGGAGACATTTGACGTAAAAAATATGTGAGGCAGCGTGGTGGAATCAGGCTCTCGTCAAAATAATCAAAGTGAAGAAACTTGCATTTTTCCGCATGTTTCTGAATTGGTATCAAATTTTCATTTTTTGGCTGAACACCTTTCATGCCCATTAAAGAACTCATTTCTGTTCGGATTTTTCTGAAAAATGTTGATTAAAGGCACAAAAAATGTAAATTTTCAGTTACCACGGACTCTTAAACTAAGGAAACAACTAATCTTTGGCGGCCACTTTCTCACTAATTTTACCTCTGAAAACAGGTGACCACCACCTCCTTCTTTCGCAAATATCTCGACTTGTATTCAAGATAAATGGATATTTTTTCATCCAAATAAAGACAAGTGAACAAGCTTTAAGATGATACCAATAACTCTACATACCCCAAAATTGACGAGAGCCTGATTCCGCCACGCTGCCTCACACATTGACTTTCACAACGTTTCAAACTTTTTCGAAAGTAATACTTTGAACATCCTAATAATGACTCCGAATAATCTTGCAATTTTGATAGAGCAGATATAACGTTCTGTTTGTGAACTCACGGTCTTAGAGTGTAATTCTAAAGTAGCCTAGCGTCTTGAGTAACCACTTGATGATGACAGGAGTTTAAGACCACACGTTACCTTTCCATGCCTTCTCTCCCTTTGGTGTTTTTAAATTGTTTTCATTGCTGGTCAAAGAGATTTGAAGAAACATCTTTGATATGTAGTCTATGTTTACAGAGACGAAAACGGCAGGCTTTTTAACAAGCCCACATGTCATTCATTGCGTAGGTTCTTTTTCTATATTTCGATTTTGTTCTTATCTTTTTAAAAATGCACATCGTATCTTACTCTTTCCAGGAAACAGAAAGAAACTAAAAAGCTAAAATGGAAAGATTGTTCTTACTTAAATAGTATGCAAGTACGTTGTTCTCTTTGAGAAGTCCAAAACTAGTTGCTTTTTTTTCTTTTCCAGCAGGTCAAAAGTACGGAATTCTCTCATACTTTCAGTCTCTGGTCACATTGCCGGCCAGTGGCCAGATATACCTGTAACTGCATGAAATCCATTAATTTTACCATTTCTTTATCTAGTACCTCCTGACAGGCAGAGTCGTAGTAACCTGTCTTATTAATGATCTTTAATTGTGTGGACAGAGGCGTAACACATTTGTGAGGCAGCGTGGTGGAATCAGGCTCTCGCCAATTTTTGGGCATGTAGAGTTATTGGTATCATCTTAAAGCTTGTTCTGTTGTCTTTATTTGGATAAAAAATTATCCATTTATCTTGAATACAAGTCGAGATATTTGCAAAAGAAGGAGGTGGGGGTCACCTGTTTTCAGAGGTAAAATTAGTGAGAAAATGGCCGCCAAAGATTAGTTATTTCCTTAGCTTAAAAGTCCGTGGTAACTAAAAATTTATATTGTTTGTGCCTTTTTTCAACGTTTTTCAGAAAAATCCACACAGAAATAAGTTCTTTAATGGGCCTGGAAGGTATTGAGGAAAATAAAATTTGATAAAAATTCACAAACCTGCGGAAAAATGCAAGTTTCTTCACTTTAATTATTTTGACGAGAGCCTGATTCCACCACGAGGCCTCACATTTACAACCAATCACATGGTAATATGCCACTGTAACCACACTGTGACTTCCATGAGATTTTGTATGCGATTGGATTTTATTTTGTTTTTATGTGTTTTTATTTCGTGATACATTTAGGTAATCGCGTCCATTTATATTTTAGATACACATCATTACATGCGAAGAAAAGTCTGTGGCCGTTAACTTCTTGAAAAGTTCACGAACCTACTTCTGTTTCAAGCAAGTATTGCTAAAATTGCCGGTGTGTCACGATTCACCGTTGGTATTTGCACTAACTATAATGCCCACGGCTTCCCCAGTCTTGCCAGTAATCACGGAACAACAGATTAAAACGTAACTATTGTCTTTTTAAAAAAAATGTAGAAGTGTATTTCTACTACGTCACTCGAGAGCATATATTCTGGACCGGGTAAGGCTTTGTTTCGAAGTTTACATTTTTAATTTAGATATAAATTTCAGTCGTAGATCCCCTTGACAATCCTCTGTACTCCTCAGCAACGACAACCGCAGCCCCCACGACCACACAGCCTCCACCCACTGTCCCCACGACCACACAGCCTCCACCCATTGCCCCCACCTTCATCATTGACCTGATCGTGCCCAGTGGTAGTGCTGGTAGCACCACACCCAGCAACACACAGAACTGCATGGACCAGCTGGCTGGAGACGGATGTAAAGACCTCATGAAATGTCAGGTGAGATTGGCCCCCACAAAAAGAACAAGGAAACGTAATACACAAACAAATCAAGCGCTCCCCCTACCTCTTTCCATCTTTTTTCTGGGAAGCTGTATTACACTTAGCCCGAGTTGACCTCAATGGTCAATGGCGTGTTTGACAGTGCCAGATTAATACGAATATGTAACCATGAAGAGATTTACACAGACAGGAAGAGGCAATTAGAGACATGGGTGGGGCTCTCTCTTGAACATGAACAGAACGATGACGTTCTGAGTTACATCAATGTTTAGCATGAACTCAGAGCCTTTCGTGTCAGGTCCCATACACTACAGAAGTCGTGTGTAAAGCTCCCTAAGGCATTTAATAATATTTTTGTGGCTAATCATGTTACAACTTTCCCCGCCAAGATCATATCTATTTTCCGAACCTATATTATTCTCTATATACCTGAGTGCAGGGCCATCCAGTGCATGGATGCCGTCTTCTCTTCGGGACAGTCTTGCCTTTTAAGTTTTTATTAAGCACTAAAATATTGCTGTCGAACTTGGTCTTACTGCAACTGTATAAGACAAGTAACTGTACGAACGACTACTTCGCCTTTCCTCTCTTCTGTATATATATTTTTTTAAATTTTAAACTTTTTTTTAACTTATAAAAAATTATAACGATTATGTGTAAGATGACCGCCTGTCTAAGACGGCCATTTTTCTCCTCAACAATTTGAAGCCGCCTTTGTCAGTTTCGACTGTGTTATGATCGTTATCTCATCGACATCTCAAAGTACATTCATTTATCAGAATGGTTTCTTAGGAGACTGCTAGTAGAAAGAAGGGGTCTAGATCCCCCCCGTTTTAGGTAATGATTTAAAAACTGCCCGTTTTAGGTAATGATTTAAAAAAAACTCCCCGTTTTGGGTAATGATCTAAAATCGAGGTGGTTTTGGGTAGTGTTCTAAATGGAGCTGGTTTTGGGTAGTGTTTTTGGGTCGAGGTGGTGTATGGTAGTGTTGTATGTGTATGTGATTTACGGGGGGAAACAAAAAGTTGCGTTGTTTTAGATTGAGTAGAAAATGTTGATGTTGTGGGTTTAGGTGGGAAGTGGTAATGTTCGAGGTATCCCGTGTGGTTGTTGTTGTTTTTTTTTGGGTGATATGTTGGAAAAGCAGCCCAGGCGCCCGGGAAAAAAGATGGTATGTTTTTTGTTTTATGTGATCCTGCCCCACGAGTTTTTTGTTGATCTTTAAATTCCTTAGTATGTGTTGGTGACGTGTGTGAACACATGGTGTGTTGGAAGTAAACAGATAGATGTTAAGCTTAATACATTGGTTTAAAACGATTTTTTCTAGTAAAGGAGATGGTTGAGTGGAGTGAGTTGAACTTTTGTTAGAAATAAGGGCTTTAGTAATGTTTAGTGAGGTAAACTAAGAAAGTTTAATTGGTGAAGAAGGAGTTGGTAATGTTTAGTGAGCTGAGCTTAGAAATGTTATTGGTAAGGAAACTGTTGGTAGTTTTTAGTGAGTTGAATTTAGAAAGTTTATTGGTAAAGAAGGCTTTGGTGGAGTTTAGTGAGTTGAGCTTAGAAATTTTATAGGTAAAGAAGGCGTTAGTAGTGTTTAGTGGGTTGAACTTAGAAAGTTTTATTGCTAGAGAAGACATTGGCAGTGTTTAGTGGGTTGAACTTAGAAAGTTTTATTGCTAGAGAAGACATTGGTAGTGTTTAGTGGGTTGAACTTAGAAATGTAATAGGTAATAAAGGGTGTTGGTACTGTTTAGTGAGCTGAACTTAGAAATGTTATTATTGGTAAGGAAACTGTTGGTAGTGTTTAGTGAGCTGAACTTAGAAAGTTTATTGGTAAATGAGGCTTTGGTAGTGTTTAGTGACTTGAGCTTAGAAATTTAAAGATAAAGAAGGTGTTGATGGCGTTTAGTGAGTTGATCGTAGAAATCTTATAGGCAAAGAAGCCGTTGGTCGTGTTTAGTGAGTTGAACTTAGAAAGTGTTATTGGTAAAGCAGGTTTTGGTAGTGTTTAGTAAGCTGAACTTAGAAAGTTTTTTAGGTAAAGAGGGTTTTGCTAGCGTTTACTGAGCTGAACTTTGAAAGCTTTATTGCTAAAGAAGGCATTGGTAGTGTTTAGTGAGTTGAACTTAGGAATTTTATAGGTAAAGAAGGTGTTGATAGTGTTTGGGCTCTTGAGTTGAGCTCTGAAAGTTTTATTGGGAATGGAGGTGTTGGTGTTGGTTAGCGAGTTGGACTCGAACTTAGAAAATTTTATAGGTGACGAAAGCGTTAGTAGTGTTTAGTGAGCTGAACTAAGAAATGTTATTGAGAATGGAGGCGTTGGTAGTGTTTAGTGCGTTGAACTTTGAAAGTTTTATTGGTAAAGAAGGCGTTGGTAGTATTTAGTGAGTTGATCTTAGAAAGTTTTATTGTTAAAGAAAGCGTTAGTAGTGTTAGTGAGTTGAACTTAGACATGTTATTGGTAATGAAAACGTTGGTAGTTTTTAGTGAGCTGAATCTTGACAGTTTTATTGAGAACGAATGCGCTGGTAGTGGTTACTGAGTTGAACTTAGAGAAATTTTATAGGTAAGGAAAACGTTAGTAGTGTTTAGTGAGTTGAACTTACAAAATTCTTTTCAGGTAATGAAGGTGTTGATAGTGTTTAGTAAGCTGAACTTAGAAATGTTGTTGGTAATGAAACTGTTGGGAGTGTTCAATGAGCTGAACTTTGAAATGGAATTGGTAATAAAAGTGTTGGTAGTGTTCAGTGAGCTGAACTTAGAAATGTTATACAGACTTCAACATAAGTTAAGGACCACTTACAAACACTCTGAGTGGTCTTCTTGGGTCGACCTGCACGTGGGCGTTCTGGGACGGATCCAGTGACTTGATGGCGCTGCCTCAGGCGAACAATGACAGAGTGTGACACTGCCAGCCTTCTGGTAACTTCTCGGGCTCCAACTCCATCCTGCAGCCATGCGATATCTTTGGTACGATCAAAGTCTCTCAGCTTTCTTCTTGGTTGTATGTTGATTCGATACTGGATTTTGCGCAAACAGCGGCTCATATTGCCACCAAAGTGAGCACAGTTCGAGATCGTACGTCTGTTAATGACGAGCACCAGAACTTTCGGATTTAAAAAAAAATAAGGACTACCTGTCAAGGTGGTCCTTAACTTTGCTGAAGTCTGTAGGTAAAGAAGGTGTAGGCAGTGTTTAGTGAGTTGAACTCAGAAAGTTTTATTGCTAAAGAAGGTGTTGGTAGTGTTTAGTGAGTTGAACTTTGAAATTTTTTATCGAGAATGGAGGCGTTGGTAGTGGTTAATGAGTTGAACTTAGAAATTTTATAGGTAAAGAAGGTGTTAGTAGTGTTCAGTGAGTTGAACTTTAAAAGTTTTTTAGGTAATGAAGGTGTTGGTAGCGTTTAGTGAGCTGAACTTAGAAATGTTGTTGGTAATGAAACTGTTGGCAGTGTTTAGTGAGTTGAACGTAGAAAGTTTTATTGGTAAAGATGTCGTTGGTAGTGTTTACTGAGCTCTGAACTCAGAAAATGTTTTGGCACAGAAGGCGTTGGAAGTGTTTAGTGAGTTGAACTTAGAAACATCATAGTTAATTAGCATACATTGCAAATAACAGATTCCGCACGTCTACAGCGTGCGCTACTCGGTGACAACCCGGTATGTTTACTTCGCTCTGTGCTTAAATGCCTTTTCTCAGTTAGTCTTCCATAAAGGGTATGACCAATTTCAGTATGACAGCATGGGTCGGCAACACAAGACAACATGATAAAGAAAAATTGAATCAGTTAATTCGAAAGCATGTAAAATTTCAACATCTTGCATTCGTCTACTTCGATGAATTATACATTGTCGCTTGCACTAGAAAAATTAATTCCATCTTTTTGGACTATATAAACATTCCTTGTTCCCTCAAATAAAAATATCAATCAGAAGTAAAATACCTAGGCTTCTGATCTATGACAAAGAAAGATACCGATGGTCATTCTGACCATCATCCATTAAACTTCATCTTAACCGTCTTGATATAAGTATTCCCATTACCTTTCTTTAAAGCATGTGATATCAGAATACCAGTGAGTTACAATCAGAATACTGAGTACGTATTTAGCTTAACACTATTAATGCTTATAATTACTGTTCATTTATATTATTATTATTATACATGTGACTGTGAGCCTGTCTGTGAGCGCAAGCATACTATTGTACTATTATGGTTATGTAGACAGATGTGTGAGTGAAGTAAGTGTGTGTGTGTGTGTGTGTGTGTGTGTGTGTGTGTGTGTGTGTGTGTGTGATGAATCAACAAACCAGTGTGTCAGGATCTGGACAATAAAGATGTACTGTATCTTTTTCTTATCTAAAACACTAACAATCTGATAAGATCCTTTCACTGTCTATAGCTGGGTACCCATTTCCACCTGGGTGAAGTTAGGAAAATTCCTTTAAAGTACCTTTTCCTAAGGACACAACGTCAGGCTCCGGAAGAGATTTGAATCCACGATCTCCCGGTTGCGAGTTCGCGAGCGTAACCACTAGGCCACCGGCGCCACATAGTGAAGGCGTTGGTAGTAATGAGTGAGTTGGATTTTTTTTAAATTGACTTTTCTTCAGTAGTGAAGGAGGTGTTGTATGAAGTAAGTGCGTTTTCGATTGTTTGTTTGTTTGTTTGTTTGTTTGTCTGCTTGTCTGTCTGTTTGTGTTTGTTTGTTTGTTTGTTTGTTTTTTGTGTGTTTGTTTGTTTGAAAACTGGAGACATATTTACATATATCTGACGCAAGGAGGCAGAATTTCGCCAATCATCAGAGTTTTACCAAAGGTGTGTCCAGATCTTTTGTTGAGTAAACAGATGTTGCAAAAAGAACCCCCTCAACATTTTCCCCACTAGTCAAGATTAGGGTCAATCTGAACAATGAGAGTGCATTGTTGGGGGGAAAAAAAAGATAGCACACTGTACTACATAATCCATCAGATTTAGGACGACAAATGATGCGAGCTTTTGTTCAGGGGAACGTGACGTGACTATTGTACAACAGATATGGAATGTACGTTACAGGCTATCAATATTTAGCAGGGTGATCGGATAAGTTGCTAATACGTCGCCACGGTAGAACAGTCGTTAAATAGAACTGA